CATCAGTTTCTTGACGGAAAAACGTACCATTAAATTTTCTACATCAAATTAATAAACATACAATTTTACCATAATAATATCCTTTAAGGTAGCTCTCATTTTATGTCGGTCTCCTATCGCATCACTGAGAAACAGACAGGTCCTTTAATCAGGACGCAAATCAAGTGCTGGTAGACATAGGCGGAAATCTAAATTTGGCACTTGGCATTTGCCATTGTTGCTCACGACGTGCGACGTGGACTGCCTGGAGGGAGGAGCTGGAAATCTCGTTGCCGCCAAGGCTGTCAGCCTCAATTTAAGTTCCCAGCCTCCCCCCCCCACAGCCCATCTCCATCTGCCATAAGAGACAATTTATTTGGCTCTGCTTTAAGCCCGGTCTGGCATGGTCGCCTCTGGCCAAAGGCATTTATTATTTTTCTTAATTAAATCTTAATTTTTCTTGCTAGCGCGTGTGTGCGGGCATCGCAGGACTCTGATGGAAAGCCGCCGAGCTCTGACCGCCGGGCTTAATGCTGATACAGGAGTGGCGCATATCGGGCTTACTGCATATCCTGCAACGAGCGACAATAATAAAATTGCATGCCAGTCTGGTCGAAGTCCCCACCGCAACCCTTGACCTCCAGCGTTACATTGAAACTCATTTAAGTAAAGCCCGGCTTCGGGGAGGGAAGGAGGGGTTGCGAATGCCACTAATTAAGCCTAATGGCGCATGAAACATGCATTAAAACTAATGTGCAAGCCTCGTCGCCATCGTCTGCAAAAGGGGGCGACGAGATGGAGATGGCCTTGCCATTTGTGTCGCATGGAGGCAAGAGTTGCCCCTGTTGTTTGCCTCCCATTAACGATGGCAGCCTAATTTTATGCTACGCAATATTTTGTTGTTAAAGTGATGGTGAAAACAGGCGAGCGCCCTTGGAAATAGGTGGAGTGAAAGCTCACCCATTACGATAAATTACGGAATAAAGTCCTGAGAAATAATTCCCCTTTCGATAATTTCGCAATGCATTTGCTGCTTTAAGAAGGCAGATACATTTCCTGCTACGAAAAAGATTGCTACACATCGTTGTTGAACTGTTGTTAAGGAACTAATTCCACAGATTTATAGTGCAAAGTTGGATGAAACCAATTTCCCACTTGACAATTTCCAAAAACTTTTGTTTTATTATTAGATAACAGCTGTTCTGTTCTGGAAAAAGTTTCTAGGCTGTTTTGAATCGCATACACCTTGGAAAACTTTTAAAAATGTTCCTGCTAAATATTTATTAAACGAAGCTAGCTTTACCAATTTAATATAAATATATTTAATGCACTTAATGCCATAAAACTTTAACCCAGTTTTCCAGAGGCCACCTGATTAGTCTCCATTGGAACTTTCCCATCCCACAAAACATGCTTTTCCCTGTCAAGGAGCAGTAAAGCAACCACTAATGAAACATTATGGCTGTCGTAACCCGGCCGGTGGCGAGCCAGACAGCTATGCCGCAAATCCACTAAAAACGTTTACGGCTTACGTGCAACATGGGCCGTGGTCCAAGCCATAAGTGGCACGTAGCAGCCCCATCAAAAGCCGCAAAAGTGTCCTCTCAAATTGCTCCGCTGCAACACGTTTTCAGCTGCAGCTGCAATTGATTTTCCCTCACGGCATCCGACCTACCAAATAGTGAACTGAATGTTACTAGGCGAGTTTTCCTTTAATATAATCAACAATTCATATTTTACGATTGTAGATTTGGCTGTGTGGCGCTTCATTGAAGCAATAAATTTAAAAATTTTGCACAAATGCCACGGGAACGATGTGAAAAAGTCATGAAAATGATATATATACGCATACGGCCACTTCTATGCATCCGTTGTGACTGTGTGTGCGTAGCACTTTATGGAACGGGCACTCGGCCTTCAACAGGAAGTGACTTACGCACGGCTGCATCAGGCCGGAAGTGGAGCTGCGAGCAAGATAGAGACAATAAAATGTTGGGTGGTGGAAAATATTCCCTTGCCCCCCGCCCCACACACGAATGAATGTCAACATGTTGATAACAAAATACATGAAACCAACTTGCAGAGAAAGCAAAAACAAAAAGAAAAAAAGAAACTTTTTTGTGCTCTCCAAAACAAAAAGGGAAAATATAAAATATGAGGAAGTGAATTTTCCACACACACAAAACTCGTCCTACCGTTGAAGGTTGCATAATAAATTTAATTCAAACTATTACAAAATGAAATATTTATATCAGTCGATATTTTAAATGCACAAGTTATGTTTGCCAAATATGGTATAAAATAAATAAATAAACAGAAAACTTTAAAGATAATACAAAAAAGTACGCCTAGCGTATAATCTTTGAAACCGCAGAATTTATTTGTGTTTTTATATTATTTCTACCAAAATGGAATCTAAAGCTAAAGCTAAATGGAAATGGATTTTTAAACTAATTTCTCTTATTTCCACCAATGCACATACCTATGGAAGTTATTTATAAAGCTTAAATTTAAACCAGGATAACCATGAAATATTTGAAATGCAGAAACAGTATCAGAAAAGTTTTATATAACAAAACCATAGAAATTCTATAAAATTCAACCAATAATAACGTATGCTAGGACTTAAGTTTGTGGCGAAATTAAAGCGGAATTCGAACTATTTTCAGAAAAGTAAAAGCAGGAACTGGCCAATTATTTATAAGCCACTCTTTTTCCATGTTTCCAAAAGGTTTTTTGCCATGACTTAATGGACGTACATAGCACATGGTCGTCAGATGATACTCGTTAGTCAACTCCCCCTGTCCCACCGCAAATATGCAATGCGTTTTGCTTTATTTTTTGCTATAAGGAATTTTTCAATGCTACATTGTTCGGTGGAAAAAAATGAAAATCATTTTTATGAAAACAATAAAATCTGCGCTTGGCTGCGCAAGCAAAACAGAATAAAATACCACCGACGAGAACAAAAACAAAACAGAAGCAGGAGAAAAAACTTCTCCAAACAATTTGGCTACGTAAGAATTAATGAAATTTATGTTGGATGCTGCTTGCTGGTCCGGTTTCTATATCAAACATTTCCCCATTGTTCCCAGAAGTGACGTTTAGGGCGAGGATCCTGTTTCCTAGAGCATATACTTTTTAACTTATAGTTGCGTCCGTTGCTTTAGGTGAAAGCCAAGCAAAATGCTCCACAATGGCCGAAAGTTTATGCATTGTAATGCGCTCCCAAAGACTGAGTGCACAGTGAATGCTCCCTAAAGATGACTCAGGCGAATGATAAACACTCCACCCTCTCTCTCTCCGTCTCTCGAGGCTATTGTAGATTATTTGTGTGTCATTGGCTATTTAAGCCAAAGCTTTTCTGAGTTTCAGTGTTGTGCAAAAGGAAGCAGCAAGTGCATGGCTGTGGAAAGTGTTTTGTGGTCTTATTTTTGGGTGTCATTTGTCTTCCTTAGGGCATGGGGCTATAAAGCTGACATTTAGGGTAATTATAGAATATATATATATAGAAAATAGCTTTGTTAGACTTTGGTTTATGGGGATAACATGAGCTTGATCCCCTTGGCAATCTACAACTTGTTGAGTCATAGTTAAGGGAGTCGGTTAGGAAATTCTGTAAGAAAATGTTTATTGAATGTCATTTTAGTTAGACTTTTAACAAGTATTTATTTGATCGATAAGGTATTCATATATAATGAGAGCTTCTTTATATAAATTAGTGTTGTATTTTAATGGTAAGGTAATGAAAACCGATTTTCTTTATAATATATCAAAACAATTTCCGAATAAAAAGTTGCCTAGGCTTGTTTTGATATTTTATGGATAATATAAATATTTTTTCCATCTTTTAAAATTTGATCACATTAAACGATATTTTTCGTTCGTTATACATCCTTTTTTTATTTTTTTCTTAAATGATACAAATTTTTTGATATTTTCAACTTTTATCTCGATAAAAATTAATATTTGATACCCTATAACTTAAATATCACTAGATATCATAATCTCTAACTCTTAAACATGCTAATAATTTCAGAAAATTCGTATTTATTCACACATTTTTTACCCCTTTTAAACCCTCTTAACTAGTTAGCTTTTTAAGTCTTCTCTACTCCCATTTTTTTACTCAATTAAATTATTACCGCCATGAATCAATGAACCGTGCCTTAATCCAACTATCCAACCGTCTGTGAATTTTTATCCATATGCCCCTTAGCCATCGTTTACTGTGCATGCATTTTGCATAATAAGCTGCTTAGAAGTCGCACCAAGAAAAAAGGGCGAGCGGGACGAAGAAAAACTTTCCATAACTTAAATTGAAAATATAATGCTATTAACACTCTCTACTCAGCCGCCATACCGCGCATCCGCCCAACCCCTCAGACCTAAATTTGCATATTACAAACACAGCTATGTTTAAAGTGTTAAGTCCGTGCACCTTCCCTCTCTCTCTCGCTCTCGCTTTCTCTCTCTGTCGCATTCAACATTCTGCATAATAAACAGATTAGTTTTTTAGGACTCACCTGCATGTCGCACACAACCACACACACACAAGAGCGATTGTACAAAGGCGCTGCCATGTTTCCAGTACATGTAATTAGAAAGCTACATTGCCTGCTTTTGGGCAGTGGCCTTTGTTTATGCAAATATTTAAACACTAGACTACTTAACCCACATTCAAATGCCAGCGAATCCCAACACACAAAGCATAGAGACAAAAGGAGGCTGCAGTAGCAAACATGTGTCTTTGTTGCATAAGCACCCACACCAGCGCCAGCACACACACACACACACACACACACTCTTGAGCACTAACAAGGCTAAAAGCACAACACATGAAATTGGCACTAACAACAGCTCACATACAAAGATGATGCACAGCAACTAACTGGCGATGAGCAAGAAGAATGAGGAGAGAAAATGTTTAAGCAAAAAACTGCATTTTAAAATATTGTGTGTGTTCTCTCTCTCTTCCCATGTTTTCCACACCAACACCACTCCATTCCAATTTAGCGCTTGGCCTAAAAGTATGCAGCATCATTAGCGTCAGAGCGAAGGACTCGCCAAAAACTACACACCATCAAGAGGGGGAAAACAAAGGAAAAACTGAGCAGAAAAAAACACCCAAGCTGCAGCCGGCAAAAATTGAAAATGTATGCTCATTAGTAATGGCAGATGCGAAGCGAGAGGCAAAAACTAACTGAAAAGCGCATTGCAAGGACCGAACCGACAGCGACAAGTTCCTAAGTCAAACGCCATTCATAATTAGCAACAACAATAACAACAACAGCAACAGCACCGGCAACGGCTGGCAGATGGGCACAAGGACACTGGAACATCTGGCACAAGTCAAGGACGAGCTGTAAAATAATTCGCATCGAAAGCATGGCCCAAGGAAGCAACTTCAGTTATCTCGAGCCCCACCAGAAGACGCCAGAGTCCTCGTCAGCGAGCTGATTTCGAGAACTCGACAAATTAGCAGAGCGGGCAAATTATCGCCGGGGAAATTGATAGATTCGATTAGCAATATAAAAAGCTCAGAGACGGAGATAGCAGCCGGCGGCTCCTTTAATTTGTCACAACCACCAAAAGCAGCAACCATCCCATCGGACTTCCGCCAAAATCCATCGCTTTAAGCCAACAAACATCGAGTCATGCCTGAGCAGGATAATTACGATGATGAGGTAATTTCTTTTGTTATACTTTGCGTACAAAGCCAAACACCTCCAACCCAAGTAAAATAAATAAAGCACAGAACGGAACAGGGTCCCAACCAAAAATAAAAGAGAATATGTTTTCAGCCCAAATATAATTAGGCATAATTAATTTTAAAAACAAATATTGCACGGAACGTGTGTGCGCGTGCCGGGCTCCCGAGTTCCGGTTCCTTCTTCGGGGCATTTTGCCAGGATTAGTCGAGCATTTTTCAAAATTGAAGGCAACCCGAACTTGACGTTGCGGATTAAAATTTTAAATTGCCTAATGACTGGGAAAATTGAAAAGCGCCCGAAGAATACATTAGGAAAAGCTGGAATATCAAAATGGGCTAGCTGACGTAAGCAGTGAGGGTTATTGTTCCATAACATAATTAACTTGTAAAGCAAGAAATAAGGTTGATAGCTAAAAAAAACTTGTAAATAAAACCTCTATTTTATCCTTTCGAATAAATTGATTATAAATATATAAGGTTGAAAAAATGTCCAATTAGCAAGGCAATTAAACAAATTTAATTTTTTGTTGCGTGACTTATGAAGAGAATTATGCCCTATACTCAGTTGTTATCGGTTTTAAATTCTATTTCTAAATAAAATTATAACAAGAAAGGAAGCTAACTTCGGCTCGCCGAAGTTTATATACCCTTGCAGATAGAACTTCTATGACTAGGAATCCATACAATATAAATTATATATTTATGATTAAAAACAATGAAGTAATACCTGCTTTCGTTTCATTCACCTATACATATTATATTTGCAGTTTTACAGTCACAAATTTGCCTTTTTGCTCCACATCTAACGATCGTTTATATTGCACCTATATGATATAGTCGTCCGATTTTCATAAAATTTGACACAACATTTGACATTTAAATTTAACAAAATATAAAATGGCTATACCTCAAATTTGATTAAAATCTGTTGAAAACTGAAAATGTTATATTTTTTAATTGTATTAATTTCTCGATCGTTTCGTTAGTAGTCCGATTTTCATAAAATTTTACAAAAAATTGTAGAATAATATGAAACGACTATATCTAAAATTTTATCAAATTCTGTTAAAAACTGAAAATGTTATAATTTTTTTTGTAAAAATTTTCCGATCATTCCTATGGCAGCTATATGATATAGTAGTCCGATCCGGCATATATACGAGTGAGAGTATATAGAAAGCTAACTACAAAGTTTCATTCAGATAGCTTCAAAACTGAGAGACTAGTTTGCGTAGAAACGGTCAGACGGACAGAGGGACATGGCTAGATCGACTCGGCTATTGATCCTGATCAAGAATATACAGTCGAATCCCGATAATTCGTACCCCGCTAAATCGAAAATTGCGATAATTCGTAAAAAATTCTGTCCCCTTGAAAAAAACTCGTTAATTCGTAAAAATTCCATACATTTTGGTTCCCTCGTTAATTCGTAGTATTTGGCGCAACGCAAAGAATATTGAACCTCTTATAAATCGTAATTTTGTTTCGAAACCTCTTATAAATCGTAATGCGATGCGAAATATTTTGTAGTTAAAGCGACGTTAGATTTTGCAGACATCAGAAAGGAGAAGAAATTTTATAGAATTTACAAACCAGAGCATTAATTCCTCAACTTAAACATTATTTTTCGACTCATGATGTGCCAAATAGTGTGTTTGACAACCTAATAGGTTTAGAAAACGAAATGGAAAAAATAAAAGAAAAAACACGAAGCAATCAAAAATTACCAATTATTTTAAAGCTTGAATTTTCGTTTTTAATTTTTTAATGTTTCTGCTTAATTTTGTTTGTTATTTTTTTTGTTTAATTTTCCTTTAATTTGAAAAACGTACAATGTACATATTTATTATGTTTGTTTAATTTTAATAAAGCTAAATACATATGTAAACATGATGTGAAATGTAAGTACCCCGTTTATTCGACTCTTTCATTTTTGAGCCCCTTTAAATAGAAATCTCGATAAATCGAATTCCCGTCTAATTCGTAAAAAAAGTGATCCCCTTGCCATTTCGAATTATCGGGACTCGACTGTATATACTTTGTATGGTCGGAAGTGCCTCCTTCACTGCGTTGCAAACTTCTGACTGAAATTATAATACCCTGCAAGGGTATAAAAACAGTGGCTAATTAACTGTGTAATATTTAATGCAACAAAAAATTAGCTTTGAATAAGAGAGGAAAATATCATCGGGAAATCGAATTTTATATATTTTTCGGCATTTTTGCCGACAATTTGGTAAAAAAAATATAAATATATATATATATATAAAGAATAGAAGTATTGCAAATATGAATATTAAAACAAGGTAAATAAAATTGGGGAGATGTGCATAAAAATATTTCAAAATAAATTACAAAAGGGGTTTCATTTGTTTGCATTTCTATTTAAATAACACAACTGTGGATCGTAACCCGGGATCAACTTCCCGTGAGAACGCTTTTCATTTTCAAGGGGAAATATCAGAGACACAAACCCTAATGGCGAATCGCATCGATCATAAGGGGGGTGGGGAGAAGAAAAGTCAAGAAAAAGCACTCCGCTCAATATTACTACAGAACAGTAAAAAGACAGTAAAAAAAGCTCGCACTCACCCCGTTATTTGTTGCTGGAAGTTGAATCTGCGAAAGCGCTTTTCCTTTGCTTTGTTGAAATTCTCAAATCACAAAAATTTGCACACAAATATTCACAAAAAAAAATTTTTTTTAAAACACAGGTAAATGCACAACAAAAAAAATCACCAAAAAAAGGAATATATTTTTGTATATATGTACATATGTATGTATATATATGCACGTATTGAACCACAAAAAAAATAATAAAAAAAATAACTTTCCTCACTTCTCACTCCGTTTTTCTTCCCTTTTCATCTGCGAGATAAAAAAAAACAGCTTTGAATCACTTGCACTTTCGGAAATTTTCCGTTTCACTTGCACAACAAAAAACAAATAAAAAAAAACGGCTGCACACATCCTCCGCGTATATTTTTTAGGCTTGCCATTTTTCCGAATTTCGCACTTTGATCGGTCCCGAATCTCTTTTACGATATTCCCGCTTTTTCTCGTTTCACCGCACTTCTTCGTTCTTTCATTTGCACGTTCCTCGTCCTCCCCCGCGCGTTAACGGGCCGAAAATTGCGAGTTGGAGTCTCACTTCTCTCTCTCTCATTCCTTCGCTTGCTGCAGCTGCAGTTTAATGGCGATCGTTGGCGGTGTGTATGTATACATGTTTGTAAGGCTACACATGTTTTAAGGATATTACACAAGTATGTTTTAGCACTAATTAATCACTTGTGCTACACTAAAGGCCCGCGGACATGCAAATTATGTTTAACTGTTGTTGCACTTCATTTATGTACGAATTGTGTACTTCGTTTCTGCAGCTGCGAACTGGCCAACTCCTTTGGTTCTAATTGGACAGCAAGTTACCGTTCATACACAGCGGTTGTGTTTTCCAATTGGGGAATTGGGTTCTTGTTGTGTTACACACCTTTAATTCACAATAGGATCACTTTTTCACCGGAAATTTGAGTAATTTTTCTACAAACTTTTCCTCCGCAAATTTTTCGTGGCATTGCCATTGCACAACCAAGCCAGGAGTATCGACTTAGCGATGAGCGTCTTAGTCGATAGAGTATCGTTGAAACATGTTCGCTATCGATATATCGTTGTCGTCACGTAACGCAAGTTACGTGATCGCAGACGATCATTATTCTTATGTGCTCTTGTTTACGTGTACGTTTTAATACTTTAAGTAAAGTAAGTGAGGGTTTTAACGCCATCAATTAATACCATCGATATATCGATACTAAAAATACTCAAACGATACTGTATGCAATAACACGTTCATCTCTATATCGATACTACTATCGTGTTAGTGCAATATATCTATATCGATGCTCCTATCGTGTTATTGCAAACACAATGACACTAAAATGATCGGAGAATTTGCGGGAAAACAACCAATTTTGGCGGTGAAAAGTGATCCTATTGTGAATTTAATGTGTGTCACACCAAGAATAACTAAATTTCCCAATTGGATAACACAACCGCTGGGTATAAGAGATAACTTACTGTCCAATTAGGACCGAAGGAGTTGAACAGTTCGCAGCTGCAGAAACGAAGTACACAATATGTACATACATAAATGAAGTTCAACAACCATTAAATATAATTAGCATGTCCGTGGACCTTTAGCGTAACACAAGTGATTAATTAGTGGTAAAACATACTTGTGTAATATCCTTAAAAACATGTATACATACACACCGCCAACGATCGCTATCAAACTGCAGCTCCAGCGAGCGAAAGAAAGAGAGAGAAGTGAGACTCCAACTCGCAATTTTCGTTCCGTTAACGCGCGGGGAAGGACGAGGAAGTGGCAAATGAAAAAACGAAGAAGGGCAGAGAACCGGGAAAAAGCGGGAATATCGTAATTCGGGATTCGGGACCGAGCAACGTGCAAAATTCGGAAAAAATGGAAAGCCGGAAAAATCTACGCGAAGGATGTGTGCAGCCGTTTGTTTTTGTTTTTTTTTTTTTGTGCAAGTGAAACGGAAAATTTCCATAAGTGCCAGCGATTCAAAGTCCCGCTGTTTCTTTAACTCGGAGATAAAAAAGGAAGAAAAGCGAAGTGAAAAGTGAGTGAGAAGTGAGTAAATATTTGTGCAAATTTTTGTGCATTGAGAATTTTGGCAAATCAGAGGGAAAGTGCTTTCGCAGTTTCAACTTCTAGTAACAAATAACTGGGTGAGTGACGATCTCTTTCTTATTTCTCTTTATTTTACTGTTCTGTAGTAATACTGAGTGGAGTGCTTTTTCTTTACTTTTCTTCTCCCCACCCCCCTTATGATCGTTATGATTCTCTATTAGGGTTTGTGTCTCTGATATTTCCCCTTGAAAATGAAAAGTAAACAAACGAAAAGCGTTCTCACGGGAAGTTGATCCCGGGTTAGGATCCACACTAGAAGTCCTAGT